TCTATGCAAATTCCTACCTTTAATTTTTCTCCTGTTTCTCAGGATGATGTCAAAAAGTCAATTTTAGCATACCAGTCCAAGGCCGTGGGTTACGACGAGATTAGTAGACATATGGTAGTATTTATACTAGAGCACCTTCTCCCGGCAATTTCCCATATAATCAATTTTTCCCTTGGTTCAGGTCAGTATCCCAATCTTTGGAAGAGGGCTTTTGTAAAGCCTCTCCCAAAAGTTCCTACTCCCATTCTTCCCAATCATTTTCGTCCAATATCCATTCTACCCTTTCTTTCCTAAATTTTAGAATCCTGTGTTTACAATTTTCTTTTTTTTTTTTTTTTTTTTGTTCTTCGGCGTTGTGTGGGGCCGGGGGCCGGTAAGAGCCGGTAAAAAAAAAAACATGTTTTTTATGTGTTGTTCGCGTAAATTTAAGAAATCATAAGCAAATTTCTACTTTTGTTTCGAAACATAACCTACTGAGTATATATCAGTCTGGGTTTCATCCTGGTCATAGTACCACTACTGCATTAATTAATGTTATTGATAATATTAAACAAGGCATGGAAGAAAAAAAAATAACAGTACTGGTACTAGTTGATTTCCTAAATGCTTTCAACACAGTTGATCATGAAATCCTTCTTTCCATACTGTCTCATCTGAATTTTGGCCCTACTGAATTGGATTGGTTTACATCTTATCTTTGCGGTCGACAGCAGTCAGTCAGTGTGGGGCAACTGTCCTCAGCGTGGGCTGATGTGGATGCTGGTGTGCCGCAAGGCGGTATTATTTCTCCTATAATGTTTTCAATTTTTATAAACTTTATTACATCCATCATCGACTGCTCGTACCATTTGTATGCCGATGACCTTCAGCTTTATGTGCAAACTGAGATTGGGGATATCCATAATGGGATCAAAAACCTTAACGGCAACTTAGCAGCTATCAAGGATTGGTCTACTCGTTATGGAGTTTTTGTTCAATCCTTTGAAATGCCAAGCTATACTGGTGGGTAGCTCAAGGGTGCTGGCTAAGATTAATCTGACAGACTTACCTCGTATTTGCTATGATAATACTACAATTCCATAATCTTGGCCCTCACATCGATAGCACGCTGAATTGGAGAACTCAGGTTTCAGATGTGAGTCGCAAAGTCACTGCCACGTTATGCTCTCTGTATCGTTTAAAACATTTTCTTCCCACAAAATCTAAGATCATGCTTTCACTTATATTACCCATAATTGATTATGCAGATGTGTGTTACCCAGACCTGTCCCAAGATCTTCTGAACAAGCTGGAACGCCTCCTCAATAACTGTATAAGATTTATCTTTGGGCTTCGTAAGTATGATCATATTTCGCAATACAGATCTAAGCTAAATTGGCTTACAATCCGGCAGAGGCGCAACTCCAGAATATTACTTGTACTTTTTTCCATATTAAATGATCCATCTTCGCCTTCTTATCTTAAGAGTAAATTTCATTATCTTTCCTCATCTCATGATAGGGTCGCTCTTCTTCTAACAACAAAATCTGTACTCCAGTTCACTTCACCGAGTTCTATGGTAACTCCTTCAGTTCAGGCTACACGCCTTTGGAACTCCTTGCCCGATGACATCTGAAAAGCTCCCAATAAGTACGCTTTTAAAAAGTTGGTCCGTGATCATTTATTAAATACAACGCATTCTACATGACTCATCTATTTAATATGTATTGCCAAACAGACGTATATATTCATATTCATTTGTATATACTAATTATGTACGTATTTAAATATGTTTACTTCTATGTATATCCATTTATTTATATATTTGTATATATGTAAGGATAGATCATATATGTATAGTTTATTTATTAGTAGTTTGTATATATTATGTAGTTAATTATCATTTGTATTGTGTTATCTTATTCTATATTGCCACACCTACGTCAAATTCTAACCACTCCATGGGTTGACTGGTAGAGAATGCCTCAAGGCATTAAGTCCGCCCTTTGTATTCTTTTGTTAAGGATGCAATAAAGAATAAAATAAATAAATAAATAAAAGTAAAAGTAAAGTTACAGCCTATATACGTCCCACTGCTGGGCACAGGCCTCCCCTCATTTCTGAGAGGGTTTTAGGGCAAGGAATTGTCCGCCGCGCTGCTCTAATGCTTGTTGGTGAACATCACATGTCTTCGAAATATTTTTTTCTTTATTCCTCAGACATGCAGGTTTCCTCTCGATGTTTTCCTTCACCGCTGAGCACGTGATTTATAATACATATATTTATTATTAAATATAAACAGCAAAATGGCCGTAGCATTGTCGTACTGCCGTTACCTTGTACCAAAAAATTTAATATGCGTCTATTAAAGTAGATAAAAAATATTAATCCTGGGGTAATTTACCACCTAGGTGAGTCTCGGGCAATTCTCCCATTGCAACAGGTGTCGATTGATTAGCGGTAAACTTAGGCCACGTATTCACTTGTGCGTTGCTATATTTTGGAATAGTTTAAGAAAATGTTAATATTTCATATTTGATGTTCAAGATACTACTAGACTAGAACAAAAGATGTCACTATCGGTTGGATATAATATTTTACTATATATATGATTTTGTTATAGAATTATTTATGATTTTGGAACTTGGTTTTTTTTTCAAACGTCAATCAATTGACCTATATTAACCATAACTTTATTCGCATAACAGTTCACAGTAAAATTTTACTTATTTTTAAAAGTGAGATCACAGAGCATCATAGTGGAATATCGAATATGATTTTGCTAAGATGCTCTGCAATAAGCCAAGATTTAAAATGTTTTGTTGCTGTACATTATCGGCTACTCTTTCGGATCGATATTTGTTATGCTCTATGACATATAGGAACATGAAATATTGTTACGAGCTTAGGGTTCGTGCGTTAATTACTGAACACCAATTAAAACTTAAATCACACTAATAATTATTCACACTTAACACTATTGTTCTATTTATTTCACTCCGAAAGCTTCGCTCGTATCGCCAATTCAATACTGCCCAGGTTGCAGTTTTCAACAGCTTTATATAGGGCTTTTCCATATAAACATCCTGAATATTCTAGCAAATACCGGTCCCGACCGACTAAGTGCAGAAAGTTCGAATGTGGACTTTTCTAGAAAGCTTGATTTTCCACCAACAGCGTATCGAATAGAAGAATTCGATACTAAATGGCGCTGTTGGTGGAAAGTTCAGGAATGACATTTTCTAGAAAGCCCTCCTCGGTCTGTTCCCCAACACTAGATGGCGCTAGTACCAGGTACCAGGCATCAACTTAGGCGCGCAACAATATGCAAAATTTATTTTTAGTATGGTAATACAATTTTGTTACAAATTCCGTGTATTACACATCATTGTGATAGCCTTTAATTGGCTTCGAGTAACTGATCGAAGCGATCGTTACGCACAAGTAAGTGTACACCTTTACTATGTTCTACCGCAGTCCAGGTCGTCTTACGCTGTTTCCTGATATCGTTATGTTCACGCTAACTCGCGGTCATAAGCAAAATGACACCCACGTTGGCTGAATTTTTCGAATTCCACGTAGAATGCCCATATTACGAGCTGCCTACATATGAGACCAGTGGGTTGTCGATTGCGAAATTGTTTTTATTATTTAACATTAATTAAGTTAAAAAATATGGTGCTGACTTATCTTTTTTATAACACGATATATGCTATAAAGTAAAAAAAGTGTACTTGGATACTGCAGCCGACACTAGGTATACTAGATAGCTACTTACTTAAAATAAAGACTTTGACAGCCGTTTCAACACAGATGTTTGCCACTCCGAAGGACTACGCTGAAATACTTCATGTACACTCATACCTTTCTATCCGGAACACAGCAGTGGGTGTACTGGTAGCTTTGGATGAACAGGAGTTCATCTAAAGTATCATTAGAGCATCTGCCCAGCAAGGCGGATGCTTTAATGATGAACGAAAGATGCTCTACCACTTATAGTAGGCAATTCCTATCTCAAAATCTTATAAATATATATTTTTAATTTAAACGATTTTTGAAGAAAGCTATAAAAAGCAAAATGTATTTTGATGAACTATCATAGCTACATAACTAGCGTAATTTGTCAATACCGAACAAAAAATTTGATAATTATCAGATAAATAGGATTGGTTAATGTAAAAACGAGCACACAATCCAACTGATGGTAAATGGAAGCCGAGACCTATAGACATCTACATCAATACTCGATTAAGAAAAATAATGCAGTTGTGCTGTCACCCCTGAGTACTAAGGTGAAAGTGATTGAAATTTATACTCTTTTTTTATAGATAAGGGTGACGAACGAGCACACAGTTCACCTGATGGTAAGTGGTTACTGCGGCCTATAGACATCTATGTTAATCCTCGATCATGAATCAAAATGCGGATGTGTTGTCACCAGTGAAGACTAAAATGGAATGCCCCTTTTCCAGTAAATTAGGGGCTCCGGTTCTCTACACTCACCAAACGAAACACAGGATCGTTGAGCTGCTATTTTATGCCGGTATTCTGTGAGAGCGTGGTCCTTCCCCGGTCGGGACGACCCATTCGTGCCACAACTATTCTACCAATATAGCTGCAGGATGGGTTTACTACGTATATATAAAACTACACTCCACTCTACTGGTACTCTACCATAACACATAGTCTACCTGATGATAAGTAGATGTGTCCTACAGACACTACCTCTATCGTCCATTAAGAATATAAAATACTGATATTTGCCGCTCCTGAGGACAAAGTTTTAATGCTTACTTACTAATAAAAAGAGCTGTATATTACGTATATTCTAGTAACTCACCAACTCACCATACGAAACAGCGTAGTATTATGCTGCTATTTTACGTTGGTATTTTCTGCAAACGTGATCTTTCCTTTGTCAACCCGATCTATTCGTGCTGAAGTCATAATAAAATAAATACATAGCTGTATTTCGTTTAAACTCAACAATTCTATTTCTAATCATATATTTTACTTCACAGTATGATGGATTCGGGGGGTGCCGGTATCGCTGAATCTCCACCAACGTACCATCGCACCTACGAACAATACGTCCAAGGAGCTGTCGAGAACAGTACTGACTCAGCTCAAGACCAAACCAGCCCAGAACTAGTGGTCTGGTCCACACTACCGTACGGCTTGGACTATAGGACACAATACGAATACAGAAGCCCTTATGACACTACCAGGGACTATACCACTCAGCAATACGCAAGAGCTCCGTTTACAACGAAAATGGGGCAAGCAAAAGCTCTGAAAGAGGCCAGAATAAGGAGGCCTATGAACGCCTTCATGGTTTGGGCAAAGGTAGAACGGAAGAAATTGGCTGACGAAAATCCCGACCTACACAACGCTGATCTGAGTAAAATGCTAGGTGAGTCACCACATTTGTAAGATTTTAAATATCATTGTTGTTATTATTTAGCCATTTTGCAGCTTGTATATTCAGGATAAGGTTGAAGAAATCAGAATAAGATATAAGAATTTTTTTTAAGATACGTACAATTCTGTCAGTCTTAATACAAAACGTGGTTTGTCGATAGTCTTCGGTTTAAAGAAGAGACTTAGTCACGAAAGAAGTCCTCTAGCCGCGGCGACACAGTTCAACAGTCAAATTACTACTTTTATGTGTCCCTCTGATGGGCACAGGCCTGTCTCATTTCTGGAGGGCAGCAGGAAATTAGAACCTAAAATTGCATTGAACAATTTCATCGGTGCAAGTAGCTATCAAACCCGGTTTAATCCCGAGTGGATCTCTCTTTACATTTTAGCTCGTATATTTCTCTCAGGACTTGTTTCTTGCGACAGACTTTTGTTTAAACTTGAGATTTATAAACTACCTTTTGTACTAAGAGATTCCGTTTTTAAGCTATTGCATAGCTTCTATCGCGGGCCTTGAGCGCGGGGACCGAATCCAGAAATTCTGTAACGAAAAAAACCTCACGCTCCCCACTCCGACGGGCACGGAGGTGTGGCGTTGAAAGCCGTGCATCGTCTAACGTCGTTTCAGTTCGGCAGACTTCGGCACTCGGCAGACTTCGGCGCGGTGTTTGTGTGCGTGCGACTAGTCGTATGCGTGTACACTAGCTGCTAACTGAATGATAAAAATTCCTGAATAACCTACATGTATTGTAAGATATTAAAAATATTTTAAACAATATTAACTTCTCATTTATACAATAAGAGAAAAAAAAATGTTTTCTTATCGGTCACCACGCTCAAAAAGTGTAACTTGATTTAATATCAAAGACTTAACTGCATAAATAAAATAAATAATTAATTATAATTGCATAAGTTGATAAAAAATGCTATGCAATAGCTTTACCGCGGCAGTCCCCGAGTGCCACACGTCTTTTTTTGTATTTAAACGAGAGCTTGACTACTAGCGAATTGGTCCTTTTTTATTATCATTTTAATAAACAAAAGTTGATTTTGTGTATTAAATGTCTGCATACGTGAACTGTAAGTACAAGCAATGAAACAAGTGCACCGATGTTGTAAACCTCAACTTTTAGTATCGTTCTGGCGCCAAGCTGCTACTGCTGTTGTTAAAATATTCAAAATAATTGCAATATTACATTGCTAATCCTCAAAACATTATAAAAAATATCTTATTATAATAGAACTTTTTTATTGGAATCGAGGCATTCCATCTCAATCCTCGGGGGTGACAACGCATCTGCATTTTGTTTCTTAATCGAGGATACATGAAGCTGTCTATGAGCCACAGCATCCACTTACTATCAGATACCAGGTCACCTTTTTTCAATAAAAAATGGGTAATATCTAATAATTTTCCATATTGACACAAGCAAATAATATATGCTAATCGTACGAGTTCATAACCAAAAAATAAAAATTAAATGTGATCGATTGCGTGTGTGAAGCATGTATGGGGTGTATTGTTATATGGGTTTTGTTGTTGTTGTTGTATGGGTGTAGTTGGGGTGTATGAATGTTTTCCTTGGCTCTATAATAAATCAAAAATTGAAATTAATGATTTCATCGCTGTGTCAGAAAATGTTAGTTGATATAGACCAAGAAAGGCACCAAACAAGAATTATTATCAATTTAAAAACGCTTAAATATAATTGACCAATTTTCTTCATTAAAGTTTCTCAGTCAAAATAACCGACGGTAAGAAAATATATTAATTAAAACTGTTAAAATATTTCATCTAATTATAAATTGCAGCTATGAGAAAAAACCTATGATAGCTTAATTATTTATTACCGTCTAAAATATTTCGCTTTAGTTGATATTGTTTCAAAATAACCTCATTATATTTAGACGTATACTTAAATTCAAAAATTGACTTCGTTAAATTAAAATAAAATTGCAATTTCAATAATAATTAACGGCACTCTCAATTAATTATTAAAACGCTGTCCACAGATGTATGGAATAAAATGTTATCGTAGTATATCTTATACGTGGTACCTATATATCTTTTAAGTAGTAAAGCCATGATGTATCTATAACCAAGCAAGCCCCCCCTTGCTTGGTTATAGCCAGCACGCTCTCACAGAATACCAGCGTGAAATAGCAGCTTAATGTAGCGTTGGCAGTATGGACGTAAACAATGCATATTTTACTTTATTTGATTTATTGCATTTGTAATACATATTATTTATAAATTTTAGCTTTCTGCACACCTTCTCCAAATAAATTTTAATTATGGTAAATCTCGCACTCCTTCGAGCGCGCAATAGCTTAAAAATGGGCATAATTTATTCCTTTCACGTAATAATACGAGTATATAGATATAATATTCATGTACCATACTTAAATTGACTATATAAAAAGCGTAAACAGGGAGTCAGCATAAAAACCATGATGTTCTAAGATTTTAAGACGATTTCAAATTCAATTATGCAAACAACCAATTTTGTAGTGTTTTGTTTATTTATTATTCCCTTGTACTTTTAAAAACTGTTCAAAACCATGAAAAAAATATAGATTAAAACGCAGGATTATTTATACTAAATCATGTATTGGACCTGCTCAGTTATCCAAGTTTGCAGTGAATTCCAAACAGAATAGGTTAGGTAGGTGTCACCTATGAGGACGAAATACTTAGCGAAACGGAAAAATTGGAGGAAAAAATGACACACATGATTTAATTCTTTCCTCCCTCGTCACCATCAGATAACCAGGCAGTCGACGAGTCAGAGAGTCCACCACTTAGTTGTTTATATTTCATACATCTAAACTAAACGGTTTGCTTTGCCTTTCTTGGAATCGAATAAGGTAGAAAAAAGGAATGGAATGATTTGCCAGCATCTGTTTTCCCATTCGATTAAAAATTGGATATCTTAAAGGCAAGAATGAACAGGCTTTTGTTACTCTTAGACAGTGCGTTTTGCTATCTAGAGCATCATCACCGTTTACCACCAGGTGATATTGTAAGGAAAGGAAGCACTCGCTAAATATATGTAAAAAAGTCTCTAAGCAACGTTTTGTGATTAATTTTTTTTTTCAAGAAGTTTCGTTTCAAGGAATAACGATGGCGAATATACATTTATCTGCTGATTCGAATATTTCCTTATCGAATTAATTATGTTGTAAAATTAATAAGCCGCAACAGTTCATTATAATTCTGGCCATAAATATGGTGTAAAAAACAAGAAATGTATAAATTAATACATAAAACGCTCATTATCTGCTTTATATCACAACGAGAAAAACAGTTTCACCTGTATGTCCACGAAATGGGTGAAAAAGTATAAAAAATGGATCGCAGTGTAATTCCTTATTAGCATCAATAATTCTGTATTACATTCCAGCTGCTAAAAAGGCTCGGACGACAATCATCCACTATTGCTAACAACTTAATTAAAGCTTGCCTACGTTGTACTTAATGATTGCTGTATTTACCGGTTTTGAATGCTTAAACTAGATATTATTCGTCAGTGGAAAATATTTCATTTTAGTTTAATTAAATTATTAATAACTGTTTGTAAAGGTCACGACGAGCGGAATTTTGCCTTAGGCGATTATTATCAAAAGTTTCATTAAAGTGCTAAAATACGACTTTAATATTAAAAAATTTATACGAGTATATCACGTATTCCATACGAGGTAGAGGCAAGCTGCAGCTATATTACGGTTGTACCATAAATGCGTCGGCTCAACCGGTGAAGGACCACGCTCTCATAGAATACCAGGGTAAAACAGCAGCTTAATAGTGCTGTGTTTCGTATGGTAAGTGTAGAGAACCGGAGACCCGTTTTACTGGAATCGAGGCATTCCATCTTAGTCCTCAGAGGTGACAGCGAGGTTAAATATAGATGTCTATGGGCCACAGCATCCACTTACCATCAGGTGGAATGTGTGCTCGTTTGTCATACTTATTCTTTAAAAAAAATCAACATACTACTATATTTGATTTCAGCAAAACTAGTATGAAACAGGAACAGAAACTTTTTTATTCAATATAGATTATAAATAATAGTTATTGAAAGCCACTTTTTTAATTTACCACTGATTCGAAAAAAATGTCTATGTCCTGGGAAGAACCAGCAAAAAATCCAGTGGGATTTTGTAGAAAAAAGTATACATTCATGTCTAATATATAAAAACACAAAAAGGTATCAAATTAGATAACTCTGGGTAAGGCGATCGCTTTTCCGAGGTTATTATAACTCGTAGTATAAAATTCGTTTAATAATTATGAACTTTTTTTTTGCACTTCAAATTTTGTGTTTTCTGGAATTTTGTTGTAAAAGCGTAAGATGAATGTAATACTAACTACCGAGTAACTGGTACTACTAACAGCTTGTGTCCGTTCCTAGTATTTAATCTGATCTTGGACTCGATTTGCTATTACAGAAGATTATATTTATGACAACCGCATAGTGCCGGGATGTCCGACACAGTTGACAACTTCTGGAAACAAAATTTATCATGGAAGAGGCATGGCATCTGTTTTATAGCTGCAGTACGAATCTGTCGGTTCGAACAAGGAAAACCAAGATTTTACAGAATACCAGCGTAAAATAGCAGCCTGATACAGCTGTATTGAAACGGAGACACTTTTTACTGCTGATGAGGCATTTTATCTTAGTTCTCAGAGCTGATAACGCATCTACATTTTGATTCTTAATCGCAGATAGATGTAGGTGTCTATATCCCACAGCATCCACTTACCATCGTGTGAACTGTGTGCTTGTTTGTCACCCTTAATCTATAAAAATACTAGTAATCTCATATGAAAACCTTAGTGTATATTATTTAGTCTGTGATTTGAAAGACGGTATATAAAGTTGAAGTATAGGGCAGTCCCTCTCCACCAGATTGAGTGACGACCTGGTAAGAGATGTAGCAAGTCGACGAATGTAAGTGGCTCAGGACCGCTTTGTGGTATTCCTTGGG